AGCCAAGAAAAATCATAATCTTTGATACAAGAATGATTTGTTCAGACTAAATAAGAAATTATTACCTAAAGTGCTAAATACAGCATCTGATACAAACAAAAGGTTTTGAGATGCTCTCTGTCTCCCACCCAGAATCAGAAAGGAGACGGCATGAATGAGCCTTCTAGGGGAAGGAGGCTGTATCCAAAGAATTATGGAAGAAAAGCGATATATTAAAAAGTGGAAAATACTGAACTATTGCATTAGTGTAAGGATAAAGCCAAATCGCCACAATGTAACCAGAAGAGGTTAAAAATGGGCCTATTTAATACTGTTTAGATTTGAAAAGAAAAATTGGAGAGAGGGGTGTCATAGCCAGGAAAGCTGACAGCAGCCTCATTTGAGTGGGAGAAGATTCTCTGAGGCCACAGGGCTTGGTTTCCTTGAACCTTTCTCAACCATCTTTGATGTTAGACTGTCCCGTGTGGACAACTCTTCACATTTCATAAAAAGCCAATCCCCAGAACTAATGTACAAATTGATGTGCTAATGTATATATACAGGGTGGCCATAAAGTTCATGTGCAATTTAAAATAGTACGTGATTTAAAATTGTACATGATCTTTATGGCCACCCTGTACATTGTTTCCAGAGGATAGGAATTCTAATCGAAACATTTGGAGATGATATATTATGGAAATTTGTGTGTTCACTGGGCATATTTCAGTGGCAAATAAACCATTTCCTCAAGCAAGTTGTAGATAAGCACATGTTGACAAGGAAATAAAGGTTTCAGCCTTGGGTTCAGCCCGTCTGGCAAATTCTATCAGTTTCAGTTTAATCTGCCTACATACGATCACCTTTAAATGTTCAACTCAGTTGATTTCTTTCCCTGTTTGATTTGATTCCCTGTTTCTTCGCACCACTCTTTGTTGCATTTGTTACACGGACTTTTAAAATTTAGTCACAATGGTTAACTAATTCTGATTTCTACTTACTCAGGGATACAGCCATGAGGGCAGCAGGAACCCCAAATGCCAGTGGGTAACAAGCTTCTTGATCGTAAATTCCACATTGTTGAACTGGGGAGAAATCACAAGATTAAAATTCATTACGGCCTTGGCAATGCACGTATAGTTCCCATTTTTTAAAACCCCTCACTGGTTGCCACATACTGCTTTACGTCCTGTTCTAGACTTATCCATTTGCCTCACTGACGTCTTTGCCCCCTGAGCAAAGCAGCATTGGAGCAGAAAGCAGGAGGTGGAGACAGGTTCCAATTTTAGCCCCTAAATACATGTGTCATCCTGGATAGGCCCCTGTTGGTTCTCTGGATTTTCTTAGTGAGGGAGATAAATATGACGTAGCTGCAACAACTTGATTATGTGGGACTCGGGAAATAATCTGAAAAGTGCCCCGGAAAATCAATACTGTATGTTCCTGTATTCATTTCAATCAGGCAACAATTCCATGACCTAGAGCAGAGGCCGAGAACCTTTTCTGTGAAGGGCTAGATAGTAAATGTTTCAGGCTTTGTCAACCATTTGGTCTCTATCTTTGTAGGGACCCAGTCATAGACGACACAGACATGAACGGTCTCCTCCAGGCGTCTGCATTCAGCCCATGGGCCACAGTTTGCCAACCATGACTGAGGCTTACTGGGACTTTGAAATCCTAGGATTGCTAAGGAAAAAAATCAAGACTGTGAGAAGCAACAGAGACTCCTGAAGTTCCTTCTGAGGAATGCTGGATCCTCAAGGAATTATCTGATCCTATAAGGATGTCAATTTGGTTTAACCAGCTATTTCACAATTCTGCAGAGAAATAAAGTTAAATAGTAGAAAACTGATAGCCATGCCAGTGTTTCCTGTTCACGAAACACAATTTTTTTTTCCTTGTAAAGAATATAAATCTGTTAGGTCCTCGCTTGAACTGATTATAACCGTACTCCAGTTCCCTCATCAATTAATTGGTTACATAAAATCTTTGTCACATGTCTACTTTATATTTGTTGATTCCTGATTTTACTTTAAAAAAAATTATCCTTTAGCAGATGCTGTAACTCAACCATACGTAGTCTCGCAGATCCAGGGGGTGGGAGAAGTGATGAAACATAAACACAAGAATAAAAGCTATTAAATTTTTTTTTTTTTTTTTGCAGTTTTTGGCTGGGGCTGGGTTTGAACCCGCCACCTCCGGCATATGGGGCTAGCGCCCTACTTCTTTGAGCCACAGGTGCCGCCCAAAGCTATTACATTTTTATACAAATTAAGGTATGGGGCCTAAGTGTCTATTATCTATCTTGAAATCACTACTCTATGTAAAAAGGCATAAATCCATGGAAAATGTATATTTTGTAATTTTATCTGATTCGTCCACGATCTTATGAGTTTGTCCTCGGTAATGCTAAATATCCCTTTCCCCATGGGAAATTAACAAACTGTCCCTGGAGCCTTAGCCACACCTGTGTGCCCTTGATAGGTACTGAGCCTGAGTGTCTCCTTCTCTTTCTCGGGGAAGTTCTTTTGTAAGTACTCGAGGTCACAGGAAAGCAAAGGAGCAGACTCCGCCCACTGCACTCACGGAACTCACTGAAACATTACCAGGGAGCAAAGACTGAAGGATTCAACCTCACCTGCGGCTCACCCACCCCACGAGTTCCTTCTGAATAGCCTGCAATGATTCTTATCTCTCCCCATGAATAGGATTTTATGTTAATAGTAATTTAGAAAGAGGCACACCAGTGCTAAGGATTTAGACCAGGCGTACTCAAACTACGGCCAGTGAGCCACATGCGGTCCACCTAGGACATTTATCCGGCCTGCTGGGTGTTTTTGCCGCCGCTGCCCGTCCTGCTTAGCAGCCGACTCATCCCGTGGCCTGCAGTCTAGCGCTCCAGTGGTCTGAGGGACAGGGAACTGGCCCCCTGTTTAAAAGTGTGAGGACCCCTGATTTAGACTCTCCAGTGGTCTTTGGGATAGGAGATTCAAATAACATCAGAAAAGAAGTAAACCTTGAAAGAAAAGCAGCTCATTTCTGTCTTTTGGGCTCCCGGTATCTCTCAGAACGTACCTGACAGTGAAGCAAAGGGCAAGACGCAAGGAACAAAACAAAACGCAGAGAACAACGACTTAGCCTTTTCACCTTTCTTCCTCACAATTAAAACAAGAAAAACAGAAGTCCCATTCAGCTATTTCTTTTTTTTTTTTTTT